GGCTGAAGACACTGGACCTGTTTGCTGAATTTTCATTTGATGATCTTTGGAGGAATTGGCTAGAAGTGGCTAATACCTCCACTAGGAAGAATAGAAGGGTGGTAGAGTGGGAATCTCCTCCAGAAGGTGTCATTAAATTGAATGGGAGCAGCCAAGGTAACCTTGGGCCTTTGGGGGTAGGGAGTGTGCTAAGGAATAAGGACAACAACATTATTTCCTTGTTCTTAGGACGGATGGGAGTTGGAGACTCCACAAGAGCTTAGTTACTAGCTGTTGTTCAAGGGATCCAGCTTGCCAACCAATTTGGGGTGGAACATCTTTTAATTGAAGGAGATTCTCAAGTGGTAGTAGGATGGCTGTCAAACCCGGATACTGCTATTTGGGGCTATAGAGGCCTCCTCAAAAAAGTGAAGTGGCTAACTAGCAATATGAGAGTTGATGTTAAACAGGTAAGCAGGTTGGAAAATACTGTAGCTGACTCCTTGACCAAGCAAGGAGTATCCAGGGAAGGTCTTTTTTAGGCTAGTTTGTAACTTATTTTAGTAAATCTGGAAAGCTGTATCTAACTTTTTTGGAGAGGTCGCATCCCGTGCCTCTCCCTGGGATGCTTGTACTCCTTATCTTTGGTGATTAATAAAATTCATTCATTTATCAAAAAAAAAAGGAGAAGAGGAGGTGGCTACCAAAGAGTATAAAAAGGATTTACAAGAAAACAACCCATCAGAATTAGGACCCCAAACCTTAGAATCCGATCCACTTTCTCCCAAGAACACTGAATTTAGAAAGCCTAACAACTTGGACACACTAGGACGCTCAAACTCTCTAAGGTTCATGTTAAAGCCAAAGTTCCAATTCAACCCTGAAGGGCAAGAATGCTGACTTAGGAAATCAGAAATAGGCCACCTGGAAAGATCAAAAAGAGAAGAGAATCTCTCACCCAGAGGGATATCCCCGATCCGCACATCCTCCCAAAATCTGATTTTCTGATCAGAAGCCAAGTCATACCTGACATGATTTAGAAAGGTAGGAAAAAAAATCATGGATGGCCCTCCATGGAGAAGTCAAGGTAGCTTTACGGAGACATCTAGCATGTGACATACCATGAATGCTTGCAACAACTTTGTGCCATAACTTGTCATTTTCGTTGGGAAACCTCCATAGCCATTTGTTGAGCAAAGCTTGATTCTTCAACCTAACATTACCAATTCCTAAATCCTAATCCCCCTTCTTCCTTTAATTTGATCACCTTGCCCATCTAACCAAATGATCATTCTTTTTCCCCCCAGCTCCCAAAGAAAATCCCTTATGATTTTTTAAATTTTCCTCAATCCCTCAATATTCCTTGTGGCATCCTAAACACTTGACATATAGTACACCGGAAGATTTGCAAGGGTAGACTTAATAAGAGGTATTCTCCTCTCATTGAGGCATAGTTCCTTTTCCAATTTTTTCTCCCTTATACTCTCCTTACTTTTCTCTTGCACATGCTCTATCTCTTCTTTGTGTTTGTAATTTTTTTCACCATGGTAGTCAAACCCAAGGATGCCTCTCAAACTACTCCAGCTCGTAACAATTTGGTATTAGAGCCAATAATGGAGCCCAACTATGATTGGCATTTTTCCTTGTTAGAAGGAGAGGTAGGGGCGTTAGTGGTGAACCAAGAAAATATGATGGAGAAAGTACCATAAATGTTTAAATCTCTTTCAGCTAGGTTTGACTATTGGAGCATCAAGGGGAAGGAAGTTAGGGAGTTCTCTTGTTCTCCTTGTCAATCTGTCATTGACCAGGCCAACGGTTTTGGAATCTCTCTTGCAATGCATTTATGGAGCCTTAAACATGAGTTTCCCTGGTCTGATGGCTCAGAGGTCCCCACCAACTGGCTTTGTTGAGTAAAGCACATCTTCCAATGCTAGGGTAGGGTGTACCTAATTCGGAGAAAGTCATCACCACTTCAGTTCACTTGGAGGGTGATGCTCATCTTTGGTTTCAACTACTTAAACAATAAATTGGAAACATTTCATGAGATGACTTCAAACGGGAGCTCCACCTAAGGTATGGACCCACCTAGTTTCACGAAATTTTCAGTGACCTTACAAAGCTCCAACAATTGGACATCGTCAAAGAACATCAAATGCAGTTTGAGCATCTCCTCTCTCTAGCTAGATGAGTCACAATAACTTAGTATATCAACTACTTCATTAGTGGATTAACAAACTCCATCTAAACTGACGTTCTAGCCAACTGTCACCACTCCACTACTTTGCCTTAAGCTATTGGATTGGCATGGCTTTATAAAGTTTGAAGCGTTTCATCAAGTCACCTTAGTTCACTTGATATGTGAGGATCCTTAGTAGAACAACTCCATAGAGGCAACCTCCAAAAAAGTGTCACCCATCGAATTAGAAGACATGCAAGCAAGGGCTATGTTACAATTGTAAAAAAATATTAGCCYGGGGCATAGGTGTAAGAATCTCTTTCTTATTGAAGCTTGTTTGCAAGAAGGGGATGGCAACATAGTGATGGATGAAGATGGAACCACATAAGAGAATTCAGATTTTAGCCCTTAAGGACAAGGGCAATCTTCTAGGGGAGGCATTGTTACATGCCTGTAGCCGCATCATCCTAGTAGGCCAATAAAGTAGGCAAGATAGTTGCATGAAGCATGAAACTTCCTTTTTGTTGTTTTATGTTAGTAGAACAATAAGAAGAGTGAGTCTTCTAGGTTGTCTAACAGCCTATTTGCAAGTTTTTCTCCATTTGTGTAGCTATAAAAAGTAGTTTAGACTTGTCTGGTGGGCATCTTGAATTTTGAATACCAAAATTGTTGAACCCTTGGGCTAAATTTTTTCCTCACAATTGTAACATACCCCTCACTTGTGTCTATCTTCTAATTCACATTTTTTCTCACAGGAATAGTTGGGGGTTGCTCTATGGAGTTGTTCTACTGAGGATCTGGTCCCATGTCAGGTGGGCTAAGGTGACTTGTTGAAACACTTTGAGCTTCGTAAAGCCTTTCCAATGCAACAAGCAAAGATAGAGTAGTGGGATGGTTGGCTAGAATGTTAGTTTGGATGGAATCCTTTAATTCATTGATGAAGTACCTAATCTACTGAGCTACTACAAGTCATCCAGTTCGAGGGAGGAAAAGCTCAAACTATATTTGATATTCCGTGACGATCCCCACTACTTTGTAAGGTTACTAAAAAGTTCCTAAAACTAGGTGGTTCTTATCACTCATGGAGCTCTTGTCTGAAGTCGTCCCATGAAATGTTTCCAATTTCTTGCTTGAGTCGTTGAAACCAAAGTTGTGCAGTTACCCCTGCAAGTGAATTGAAGAGGTGACTTTGTTAGAATCGGGTACACTCTGTCACTGATGTGCTCTGCTCGACAAAGGTAGCTGGTAGGGTCCTTTGAGCCATTAAATTGGGGAAGCTCAAGTTTAAGGCTCCATGAATATGTTGTCGGAGAGATCCTAGAACTTTTGGCCTTGTTAATGACATATCGATGTGGAGATCAAGAGGATTCCCCAACTGCTTTTCCCCTTGATGCCTCTAAACAGTAGTCAAACCTTGTTGAAAGAGATTCAAACATCTATTATACTTTCTCCATCATCTTTTCTTGGTTTCCACTAACCCCTATCTCTCCTTCCAATTGGGAAAATGCCGGTCATAGTACAGGCTCCATTATTGGCTCTAATACCAAACTTTTATAGGTTGGAGTAGTTTGAGGGATGTCCTTGGGTTGGGTCCCATGGTGTAGAAGATCATGAACAAAAGAAAGAAACAATATTGGGATGACATGACTGCAGGCATATAATAGTTTATTTTTGTTTGTATTATTGTGCATATATAGGAGAAACTATGATATCATTTAACATCACTAATATAACATAAGATGTAAAAGAACTGGAGGAGATAAAAAAAGTTGGAAATTCAGATAAAAGATAACCAAAGTAATAATTTGGAAAAAAGCTAGGGTGGAAGTATGGTAGTTGAAGAGGATTATCATGTGGTTATTTAGGGGAGAGATTGAATCATTTAGTAGTTTCATCATTGCACTATACATATTTATATTCTGACATACTAGATTGAACAGTTCATTTGGTGCCTTGCAGATGAAAACCTAAAATGGGAGATCTAGAAATGATTCGAGCATCATATATAAGAAAATAAAGTCAATGTATTGGAAATGCTGTCAGTTAAGATTTACCTTTTTATCAGTTTAAGATTGTCAATGACCCTGGAGGCTGGAGTTGAGTTGGTCGCTTAGAAGTCCTCACTTTGAGGAGGCTTGGATTCAAATCCATGGAATGACAGGCTCTCTATGTTTATTCCAGTGGCCCCCGCATGCACCCTGCCACACTAACCCCACTAACCCTCTAACTAGGTCTTCTAGGGTATAACACCCCGCCCTTTAGGGGGCAAAATGCACATTCCTACAACAACAATGGTAAAAAAAGTTTAAGATTTACCTTTTTTGATCATCTACATGTTGAAAATTAGCAATTTTCAACATTGTTTTATTCAAAAGTAATACAAGTTGCTGCTTTTGATTCCAGAAACTGTCAAAATGACTTGCACAGGAAAACTTAAATTGCATTCTAGCAAACATCAATTTGTGACCATTTGTATATTGTTCCTATGATAGAAATTCTTATTTGGAATGGAAACTCAGAAAGTGTTAGAGCTGAAATAGAAACATTTCTCCTTTTGAGCAGTAAAACCATTTCTTTGAAGACCAACTTCTATTGTGGGGTTTTTTGAAACAACATTAAGGTCCTATTTCATATTAGATTCTATCCAATTAAATACGTGAGAGAAGTTCTGGATTTCCTTTCCAAAAATGGTCACAAAAAAATTGATGGTTATGATATTTGGCTAGGTGTCATATATTTCCTGATGCAGCGTCTTTTAACTGGTTATGATGGCAGGTTGGTTCGGAGAATTACCAAGTTCTCTCTGACAATCCCTTGCCTGTATTTTTCTGGGTTCAATCTGCAGGCAAAAGCAAACAATTCAACAAATTGGGGCCCTTGTCTTATTGATAATTGCTGCTATTCTCTTAAGCATTGGTGAGGGCTCTGGCAGAGGATCTAGTGGCGGTAACCCTGATCAAATTTTGTTTCATGGAATTGTTCCTGTTTTGGTTGCTTCTGTTCTCTCAGGCCTGGCATCTGCTCTCTGTCAATGGGCTTCTCAGGTTTGTAGATATTTATTTACTTCTCATGCCAGGAAACCATTTTCTTGGCCTTTTCTGTTGTATCTACTTCTGTTTTCCTTTTACTGCAGGTGAAGAAACATACCTCCTATTTAATGACTGTGGAAATGTCAATAGTTGGAAGCTTGTGCTTGTTGGCAAGTACCTATAAATCACCAGATGGAGAAGCCATCAGAAAGCATGGATTCTTTTATGGTTGGACTGCATTAACACTGGTAAACTATATTGTTTTCTAATCAAAGGACTTTTATTTACCTATCAAAAAAAATTAAAGACTAATATTTAAATGAAAGCATGGATTCTTTTATGATTGTAATCTCTCCTTTTTTATTTTTACTGAATTTTATTTTATCTTCAAAAAAAAGTTACTGTGCATTGACCATGAGGGTGGTATTTGATAGGCAGATTATTAACAGAGAAAATAATGGGTCCCTATATCTGTTTTTCTTGTCTGCTGGGGACTGTCTTTGTACTCAACCCTGTTATGCCTCATTCGTACTTTTCTTTTCCATTATATTATGCATGTTGATCAGTGTTTCAGCTAAACATGAGGTCATAAGCGTTTCCTCCTAATAAGGTGTGCTTGTGATTGTTGTCTGATTAGAACCAGCAAGGAACAATACAACCACCACAGAAAGCTGATCTCATGGCTCATCAAATTTATGATGGCTTTACAGTGTTATTTTCTGTACATAACCAGGAGATAACAACTTGACAATCCCTCTCAACTTAAATCAGATGTTTAATGTTGAGAAATAGTATTATTTGATCATGTGTGGCAAACTAGAAAACTTTTACAGTCAAGATAAGTCTCCTTTTTGGCTGTATTTGTTTCATGCTAGAGGGGCAGAGAACAAGTAATTTACCAAAAGGGAACAAAAATATAACTGAAAAAATTTCCACCCTTTTTTTGCAATGAAACAAAAATTGTAGTTGATATTTTCAGGTGTTGAAATCCACAAGTATGTTTCATGAACTTTTTAGATTTGTATGAGATAATGACCCCAAGAGCATTTATATAATATTCCTTACATAAGTCCTTTCTTTTCCAATAAAGCTGTACCTGTCACTTCTTGTAAAATCAAATGCAAGGTATTTATAAAATTAGTAAATCACCAGAAGATGAAAATTGGTATGTTATTCAACAATTTGTAACTGCCATATACTTTATTAGTCTTAAAGTGTTTTCCCACTGATGTGGACAAGCTGTTTTTTCTCCTTTTGTCAGATACCAATCATTTTCAATGCTGTTGGTGGAATACTAGTTGGACTTGTTACTGCCCGCGCTGGTGGTGTCCGAAAGGCAAGTGGTGACCTGTAAATTAGATTCTTTGGGTGTGAAGAGGGTAAATACTAGCATAAGTGCAGGCAATCATGAAAACCATCTAATGGGTTCCACCCAGAGTTTTTTGTTTTTTATTTTTCCCCTTTATTTCAGGGAGGTGTGAAAGCAGGGTTTAGTCCCAGGTCAGTGGGCAGTGGAAACTGCATGACATCCACTTATTTTTTCAGCTGAGCTAGGTGGCCATCTTCTAGCCCTGCATTTTTAAACCTTTAATCATTCACATCCTCTTCAGAAACCCAAAAATTTGCAGCAAAAATGCAAAATGGTCCAAGCGTAGAGGAAGTGTTTAGTGGACCAGACTGTTTTGGATCTGAAAAACAACCTTTATTGACCTTAGCCAGAGATATTACAACTTTCTCCATCCTGACTTGATTCGCCCTCATAAAAGAAGTTGCACATTCTCCTGTGACTACACCTTCTTACAGACCGGGCTTCTGGCTCAGGGTTTGGGCCGGGCTCATTCAAAATTTGGCAAAAGCTAAGCTCAAGCCTGGCCCATGAACAGGTCTACCGGCGACTGCAAGTCTCTGTTTTTTGTTGCAACTGTTGCACGTCTGATTTCTTTTCATCTTTTGTACATGTGTAGGGGTTTGTGATTGTTTCCGCACTGCTGGTAACAGCCCTGCTTCAATTTATTTTCGATGGCAAACCACCTTCATCATACTGTCTTTTGGCCTTGCCGCTTGTGGTCAGCAGCATTTTTATCTATCAGAAATACCCATACAGGGTAAAAAAGAAGGAATCTTAAACCGTCATTGTCACCCCCGCAATAAAGGGAAGGAATGTGCTTCCCAAAATGTTAAAAGAGCTAGCTGTGGCTTACCGTGTATTAATTATTCTGATGAATGGGGATCATGGAATTTTGAAATATGCACTCCACATGACAAACACAGGAAATTGCTATTTGTGTACTGTTGGCCTTTGTCAGGAAATTTGCCTAGTAACATGCTTGCTTTTATGAATTCCTACTGTGCATGCAATCTGTATAAATGGAAAAATATGTAAATGAAAGGACAACGAGCTCATATGGACATGACAGATGAAGAGGATGTCCTCATTCCCATCTACTACCGTTTGTCCGCTTCAAAGGATAAAACTATATTCACTATTCTGATTTTAAGTTCCACTCCGATCTGCCTTAGTAGGTCTGTTTGAATGTTTCTACTGGGACATTGCCTGGTTTTTAACTAAAAGCTAGACCCTAAGCTCGGGGGAACTCTGTTTTTATTTTATTTTTGTTTTGTTTTCAAGGGGTGGGGGCAGGGGATGTTCTGGGGTAGGGGTTTTGTTTTATTGAAATATAACTTTTATTTTTGTTTTGTTTTTGATGGTTTATTAAAATCCCATTCCTGTTTCACTGGCAACCAAATATAACTTTAGGCAGATTGAATTCATCCAAAACTGATGCATACTTCCAAGTTCCAACTCCGAATGAGACTTGTTAAATGGCTTGGCTTGGATGCCTGTTTATGAACGTTGTCCTAACCGATTAACCGATTGGATTTGCTCCTCGGAACGAACCTCACAGTACGTCCCATCGTATATTGACTATTGAGACCATCTCCCATGAATTAAGGCTGCAATTTGAGCAAGGTTGGCCCGAACCTAATCCAATCCCAAAAAGCTGGGTTGGGTTGGGGCGGGTTGATGCTCAGTTAGGGTTAGGGTTGAAATTTATGAACCCTATTTTATTTCAGGTTGGCTTTGGGTTGACCCCTGACTTTATAGTATATGTCGTATATAAATATATGTTATATGTATTATACAACATACATTGATTTGTTTAGATTCATGATATTTGTATAGACCTCACTACATGGTATCATATATTTCTTTTAAGATAATCACTTCACTTAATCCTATCAGAAAGACTAAGACCTTAATAACATTATTTTGTGTTTTTCGAAAATTTCGTTCATCTCCTCTCTGTTGTTTGCCGCCCATAAAAGACATATCGTAAGTCGTAACTCATAATAAACTATAGTCATTTTTAGCACTTTTTTTTTCTGAATTTTGTACTAAAAGAACAAAAAAAATGTCAACAAACAAATACTAATGAAACATATGAATGTAGGATTAATATATGTAGTGAAAGTTGAGTTAAGAAAATCAAGAAATCCTATAAAGTTTTTAAGGGATGGGAAGAAGGTTGGGTTGGGTCCAATCCAAAATTGACTTTGGAATGGGTTGGGTTGGGTTAGGGTTGAAGGAATTTAGTTAAGGTTGGATTGATTGGGTTGGGGGTTTAGAATTAGGGTTGGGCTAGGGTTAGCCTCAACCCGACCTAACCTGGCCCGACTTGCAACCCTGCCATGAATAAAAGAACACAAGTATTAAAGATGTTGAAATGTTCCCAATATACAATTAAAAAGTATTAGAGAGTCTRTGAGGAGCAGATCCAKACTCTAACTGATTTGGTTTGCACTTTACAATTTCCGTTGTGAACTGGCAGCCTTTACGTTAAATCCCAAATGAACCCAAAATGGGGAGAGAGAGATATTTGAGAAATTCAACTAAAATGACCAAATCAAATTGGGCATCTAGAGCTACARATGGTACTTTGTCTTTATTCAAATGTCTGCCTGAATAAATGGATTGAATATGGATATACCCCACTTCAATCCAATAACATAACCCAAAAACATTTTAAGTACATATGCTTTATTTTTATATAAAATTAATATGTATTTATTTGTACAGTTGGTTTGAATGTTATATATTTATTATAAGGCCATAAGTTCAAGCCTTATAAAATTTTACTTTTCAAGTTATTTTTTCATGATGTACAATATGAAAGTTGTTTTATGTTTATTTAACAAATAAATGTAATATTCTGTAAAAAAATTGCTAAATTTATTAATAGTATTGCCCAAATTCGATCCAAGTCTGAATGAAATCCACCGGATAAGATTAAATCCAGATTTGAACATTAATAAATCAAATTTGGATCTAATTATATCCAATCTGATCTCATCCATTTGCAGTCATAGAGGTTATATGGTCTATACTTTTTGGTTGACAATAATGATTTGTTGATTAGGCTCAGTTTGGAAGGAGTACAGATACAAATATGCACAGTGCAAAATTTTATATTTTGAACTATTTTGTGTGTATTTGCACTGTATATATTTGTATTTGTACTCTTTTCAAACTAATCCTTAATTTCAGTTTAGGAGTACAAATACAAATATGTACAGTGCAAAACTTTGTATTCTGTACTATTTTGTACTGTATTTATTTGTATTTGTATTCCTTCCAAACTGAGCCTTACAAGGTTTTGCACTCTACATATTTGTATTTGTACTCCTTCCAGAGCTTTAATGACAAAAATGGAGTGACATTGAATGCATACATTGAGACGTTTGGATTGGAGTGAAAAATATGCAATGCGAGTATGAAAGAATAACGATTAAGAATGTTAAAGTTTTGTTTTGGGGCAATAAATAAATAACATTTATCATTGAATTACTTTTGAAATGGTGTTTACATCCATATTTGACTATGATACCATGAATACTTACATCCAATCAACTGGCATCATAACAGAGGTGACCAATCAGGTAGTCAAATTCAAATATCTTATACATACTGTTTAAGTAATCGAATCAAATTATTATATGACCTGTTTTGATTTGATAAATATTTGAGTTCGACTGCTTATTTAATTATAAAATATAAAAATAATTTATATATTTATATATTTTGTTTAAATAAAATAATTAATCGGTTGAATTTGAATCAAACCAAATATTCAAATATTTGATTGAACTCAGATTCGAACATTGATTTTCAATATTCATTGGATATCAAAATTTCTAATCGGATTTGAATTCAAATATTGTTTGATTCAATTCGTTTATACCCCCTACCCAAACCTCTAGATACCTCAATCCCGGGTGAAGACAAGACTTAATCCCATGCCTCGCTATAACTAGTCATGGACTTTACTACTTGGTGTAGCCAAATTCACCCTTGCCACCCACATGGGGACACATGGCACATCCACAAGGGTAATCTCGTCATCTCATAGACTTYAGAAGGGGGATCCTCATCCTTTCAGCTCAGATTAATGTGGAGCTTTAATAATAGGCATTATGACCTCGACTGAGCCCCTTCCACTGCATTTATGATGGTGTAACGTTCGACCATGTGGTCAACACCTTAATGTTCCCCCTTAATGATGCCCGACGTGCGGATCCGTTACTAAGAGTTCACCACACCCATATAGGGGAGGCTTCAACTATAAGTACGACTTCAAGCCTCAAGTAATCTTCTTACACTTAAATTCTCGTTAATGGTTGGTAAGTCTTATACGTATGCATGTATGTATGTATGTATGTATGTATGTGTATATGTATGCATGTATGTATGTATGTATGTATGTATGTATGTATGTATGTATGTATGTATGTATGTATGTATGTATGTATGTATGTATGTATGTNGTATGTATGTATGTATGTATGTATGTATGTATGTATGTATGTATGTATGTATGTATGTATGTATGTATGTATGTGTGTATGTATGTATGTATGTAAAGACATCTAAGTGTCGCTTGGCAAGTCTTTTTTAAAAGATCTCTCGGAAGATATGACAACCAAAAGACGTAGTGGGTTTTTACATAAAGATCTTGATAGCCCATATATTGTTTGGTTAGATACGCATCTTTCCATGCATCTTTCCATGTGAAGACAAGATGAAAAAAAAGCGAGAAGCTCCATTTATAGCTCCTCAACACAAGCTTGAGTCAAGCTTCTCATGTCTTTTTGGGGCATAGTCTTTTGGTAGCTAGATCTTCCCCCAACCAATCAAGAAAAGACAAAAATGCGGGTTGTTGAGTTTCTAAATAGCTAGCAGCTTGTGCGGAAAGATGCACCAAACGGGACATATTACTTATAATTATACTCTATATGTAATATATGCATGATTTTATGTTTAATTTATATATTTACATTCAGCTTTTAAATTTTTATTTATAAACACATTAAAAATTGCAATTTGAGGCCAATTTTTTTTGTTATTTTCACAAAAATTGTAGGACAAAGCACCTACAACACATTTGGACAAATAGATATCAAAAAGTTACCCAAAATAAAAACAATCACCGTAATTGGACATTGAAGCACAAAGTTACGACCTTTAGAATTTTGCATACATGTTTAATGTTCAACTTTTGACCAAGTCATTGGTCTGACCGGTTGGGTTGTATGATTTTTTAAAATAGTGACGAGATGATGGTTCAAAACCGGCCTAATCAATGTTAAATTGAAAATAGTGACCAAAAAGAATGGATAAAGAAATTTCCTTATACAGACAAAAAAGAATGTAATTACAACATCCTTTTTTTGGTAAATGTAATTGCTATATTTTACAAGTTCAAATTAGCTCCCCATAAGGGGGTGCCCCACAACACATCCTTATCATTATGAGATGTTCCCAATACACCATTGGGATGTGCTGTGGGATGTTGTGGGGTGCCCCCTTATGAGGGGCTGATTTGAACACTTTATCATGTGAATTAAGAACTATTGACGCCATGTATTTCAGTGTTATGCATTTCTTTTTTCTCATGAAGTCATCCATTTATATGCTTAGTAGAGGACCTTACGAGCCTCACCAGTTAGTTAGTAGTATTACAAATCTATACTACTTTGAAAAGCACTAATAGCATAAGCAATATTTTTGAAAATTTTGAGGACAAATTTCACCCTTCTATATTTAAATTTATTGATGAAAAATGAGGGCAAAAGGGTAATTAATTATCAATATTAAATGAGTAGAAAATAGGCAATTATAAGATATTCAATGCATTCAATTTCCTCTCTCATTAAATCCAACACTTAAGGTATTAATTTGCATTCACCTTCATTGAATTATATATTTAAGGCACTTTTATTTATTTTTATCATTAAATTCTATTAATTAAATCCATACATAATAAATTAATATTTCTAATAACATAAAAACACACTTTTAAAATCTACATGAAAAAATGGTGTTTTTATCTAGGCAGTGATAAGAAATTAAACCATTTTGGGTCAAATGGGCCAAGCCAATCCATGTTGTCATAATTAAATAATAAAATTTAAAAATAGATAAAATGCAAAAAATATAGAGATTAAAAAAAAGTGGAACATTTTGAATATCATATACTTGACATATTAAACAACAATAAGTATGATAAATAATAAATGCTTTTATTAATGATGGAAATTGAATATAAAATTTAAAACTTTAGAAATAAAACTATTTTCCTATTGTCTCATTAAATCTCATATTAAGGTATATTATCTTATTAAATCCACAAAATCAATTTTAATATTATAAAAATAAATAATTTGAAAACAAAACTATTGTCTTCCCTCCCAATGGTTGGTAAGCAATTCAACCATTTTGGGTCAAGTGGGTAATAAATAATGTCACAATTAAATAATAAAAAATTAAAATATATAATACAAAAAAATAAAAAGAATTAGACATATCTTTAATATTGCATATTCATTATACTAAATAAAAATACGTATAAAATGTAAKAAGTCATATTATTAATGACGAAAATGGAATGTCAAAGTTAAAATCAACCTATAAATGAAATGATGTCATAGTCAAATAATAAAATTTTAAAAAATCGAAAATATAAATAATATAAAAAATAAAAAATAGAAAAAATTCGGGCACATATGTAATGTATTCATAAAAATAAATATTGGGTGCATCCCTAGTATTATACATTCATTATCAATGATGGAAACGTAATATAATATTTAGTGTCATCCTAGAAATCAAATTATTTTCCTTTTTGGGTTGTGGGTTAGGGGTTTGGGTCAAATGGATCAACCGATGATATAATAGTTAAATAATAAATATTTAAAAAATGAAAAAGTACAAGTAATCAAAAGAATATATTAATTATGTCAAACAAAAGTTAAGTATGATAAGTAAAAATTATTTATATAATGTAAATGATATATAATTTAAAACAAATATAAAAGTAAAGTTATTTTATTATCTAGATGGTGGGTCAATGATCCAACTTTTCAAAGAAACTCATGATGTTATAATTGAATAATAAATATTAAAAAAAGATGAAACACAAATAATAAAAAGTACAAAATTATGTCGCATTTAAGAACATTTATCATGTTATATATTCATTATGATAAATAAAAATAATTGTTAAAATAAAATTTATTTTTATTTATAACAAAAGATTGAATAAAAAATTCAATAATGATAATAATAACAATTATTATAATAATAATAATAATAATTGTTATTGTAATTTAAAATTTCCATATAGAATGCATGTAAACATTTACTAAGCATTTGAATTTATTTTTAATAATAACATTACTTTTGTTTAATTTTCAATTTTTATCTTTATTATGATATATGGGCAAACGTAAAAACAAAAAAAGTGTAAGCATACAAGACCGGCGGTGGATATAGGGACCACCGTGGTCCTGACTTGAACATTTATCCGCTGGTTATCGAATCTCGACTCGACCCGTTGATTCGTGGTTCGCAGTTCGCACTTCCCACTTCTTCCGTCGCGGGAGTTACTTCGGAGTTCCCTGGGACGTAGAAAATACGCGCGATATTTTGGCTTATTTTTTTGACACTCTCACACCCGAGAGACAGACTCTACCTCCAGGTTCAGGAGAAATCAATGGATTCGATGCGTTTTGAGTTGAACAAGGCACTCACTCGTGGCGCGTGGTTTAGAGATTCCATTATTCCATCTTCTGTGCTTTCTTCCTTTTGGTTTTGGTAGGCCCTGGGGAAGGCGACGATCTAGAATCTCTATTCTCCAGTGACATAGAAACAGAGCTGCGTCAACCTCAGCATCGCTATCATTAGAGAAAAAAGTAGAAAAAAAGAGAAATCACCAAAAATCACCCTTTTTCTTTTCATTCTCTTTTCCAGATTTGGATTTTCTATTCGGGTGTTTGTAAATTTTTGCTTTCGATGGTTTTGATAATTTGATTGTTCCCACGCTCGACGGAATTAAGAATGACTCTGTACTTCTGTCATTTATGGTATTGTTTGTTATGGATTTTCTAGGGTTTTGATTTTTTTCTCCGTTCTATAAGCCATTTTGGATTTTCTGGACCCTGAGTTAATGGCGGAAGAGGGTTCAGAGAGAGAGCATGGGGGATTAGTTTCGATGGATTCATCAGAACAAAGATGGGTTTTCCAGGATGAAGAGGATTCTGATGTAGACTTGGACGAGGATTTGCCTCCACGGATGAGCTTGGATTCTGAAGAGGATGAAAATGGCGAGCAGAGGCTGATCAGGACCGGCCCCCGGATTGACTCCTTCGATGTCGAGGCCCTCGAGGTCCCTGGTGCTCAGCGAAATGACTATGATGTACGTTTCCATTTCTCAACCACGCCCGCTTTTTGTTCCTTTTAACTTCGATCTGAAATAATGTTCCTGTACCGAAAATAGTTTTCAACAGCTGATAAAAAAATCTCCAACAACAAAAAAGATAAAAAAAGGATCAGGGATCTTCTACCAAGGAGTGTGAATTTAACGTATGTTAAACTGTCCACTTTTTTCCCGTTTCCCAACATTACATTATAATGATCTAGTGAAAAGAAAGCACTATAAAGAAGATTAGAAATTGTAAAATTCTTTTGGTTTTGGACATACCGAGAGGTAAAGCAGATGGGTTCCAAGAAGATTCACCGATTTATAATATCCCTCCACTGTACATGCACTTGATGCTATCCATAAAGATAGTTTTGTGGAGTCAGATTGTTTTAGACTTCATGTCTTTATTTTTTCCCTCAGTGGGATTAAAGGTTTGATGCAGACATTGCAATCAACGCCTTAAAAGCTGACATCTCGATTCCCAAGTCAAGTGAAACTCCTATACAACTCTGCTACGCCTCCTCTTGCGAGGCTGCAAGGTATCGAAGCTGATCTTGAAATGCCTGAATGATGGGTTCAAAGTATAAATCTCCAAGGTCCTCCAGATTGTTCTCTAACTCAGTCTATTAGCTCCCCGGACATCTCCTTCAATGGTTAGCCCTCAAGTCCCATGGAAGTGGAAAAAAATCATTAATCGCTAACTGAACCCCTCCCCCATGTATTAGGATAACCACTCTGTGGTATTTCTTAGTCTACCTCAAAAACTTAGCGCCCTTTCGTTTTGAAGGAGCGGGGGGGGGAGGGTTGGTCCACTCTTGAGCAATCTCCTGTCTTATCAAGTTGGACCTCACTAAGCACTAGGAGCATATATCTAGTTTTTATTCATGCCCAAGATAGAACTTGGATTTAATGTTCATAGTTCTTTCTGTAGTTTTCTTTTCTTTTCCTGATAAATCATTACGACTTATTGATAAAAAAAAAAAATCATTATGACTTTGTAAAATGACTGGTGATGATAATTCGGACATGTTTCTTTAGTTTAGGCTCCTCATCTGTAGTTTCTGCGCCATAAGCAGCCTAAAAAGTTTTTCCTTTTTTGGACCATGAAGCAGCAGGAAATCTAGTGAATAGATAACAATGTAATTTGAAAGTAATATGTTTAGTGTTCCAAAAAAAAAGTTTCATAGGCCACAAGTTTGCTGCCTGATTTATTTTGGTTTAATTGCAGGACTTCACTTTGGGCAGGAAAATTATACTTGCTTTTCAGGCACTTGGAGTGGTTTTTGGTGATGTTGGAACAAGTCCATTATATACTTTCAGTGTGATGTTTAACAAGTCTCCTATTCATGGGGAGGAAGATGTTCTGGGAGCATTATCACTTGTTTTGTATACATTAGTCTTGATACCTCTGATCAAGTATGTCTTTGTTGTTCTTTGGGCGAATGACGATGGTGAAGGTATGCTGGAGGTTGTAACCTAAGCCTTTTATTTGTACAATTCATCATTGTTTTTTCCTTTGTTCTTCCATATGTTGGGTTTCATTAAAGCCTCTGCCTGTGCAACTATTGCAGGTGGTACATTTGCTTTATACTCCTTACTTTGTAGGCATGCGAAAGTTAGCCTCCTTCCAAATCAGCTCCCATCTGATGCCCGTATATCGAGTTTCAGGCTGAAAGTGCCATCCCCAGAACTTGAGAGGTCATTAAAAATTAAGGAGAGGCTTGAGTCTTCTCTTGCACTGAAAAAGCTCATTCTGATGTTAGTTCTACTTGGTACTTCAATGGTGATAGCTGATGGAGTTATTACCCCAGCAATGTCAGGTTTTAATATGATAGCCCATCTTGCGTTTCTATGTTGTGGGGGAAAACTGATGGCATAATAAGTCTATGGTGTAACTTTATTTGACTTAATTTGGTTCCTTCTTCTGAATGACATGTTTTCTTGTTTACCTATTATCCATGTTTCTTCTTTTAATCTTCCATTTAACTATTCTTGAATGCAGTTATGTCAGCTGTAGGTGGTCTGAAAGTTGGAATAGCTGGTGTTGAGCAAGGTAATGCAGTGTTTTATTAAGATATGAGACTGATGGGCCCTGGGGGTCGAGCTACCCCCTAGTTTTGTGTAGCTCCTCCTATTATTACCAAAAAAAAAAAAAAGACTGATGGGCTCAATGCACATGGGCTGATTGTATATGCTGGCTGATTTGGATTAATACAATATATTACCTTAGCTTAAAAAAAAAAGATGTGAGATTGATGGTGTTCCTCATTCTTTTCATTTGCCTTTGCTGCATTTCTTTCTTTCTTCTCTTTCTCTTTTTAATGAATAGAACAAGTCAGAAATATACAATGGATATACATCAGAAGTAGGGAAGAGAAAAGAATAAAGACAGAGAGGTGTGACTATCCTCCCAAGTGGAAGGCCTAAAACCACATTATCAGTGTAGTCAAGGCATCACAATGATGCATAGATGTTTTGGCTCCTTAGGTTAGTGCTAAAACAATATGCTCAATGAATTTGGATACTAACACTGGTAATGTACCCCTGCAAAAGGCTAAAGCATAAAATGAATTCTATAGTGAGGGTATAAAATTTACTGGCAGCATAAAAGAAATTTAATTTAACAGATATCTTAAAAGAACCTAATAATCCAAGGATGAACAATATAATTCATGCATATTTCACCATCATAGACCTATTCAGAGATAGTGCCTATAAAAAAACTTAAATATGAAATCTATCATTGAAAAACCTAAATCTCCAAGCTTTAGCCCCTTTATCTCACCACACGTTCTGTAGGAGCAAAGGCTCTTTCTCTTATTGTCCTTGCAATACTTCCTCTTTGCTTTTTCCAAGAATTTAATTAGATTCTTGGAAAGATAAAGTATGCATTATATTATAATAGTCTATACTTATCTATAAAAGTATGAATAAATGTGGTTGGAATTTTCACTAGACTAAAATACCCCATCTCTAACGTTTGAATAAGAGGAGTGTTAGAATAATGTTAAAATAACTTAGTTGCAGATGTTAGGGCCTGTTTGACTAATTAAAGTGTTTTTT